AAAAAAATGTTTGTCATAATCATGTCTTGTGATTATTTGACAGGAGTTTTACATTTAAACTAAGTGTGTTTAATTTAGTTATAATGCAAATACAATACAAATCAAACTAAGATTTAGAATAATTATCATTTTGATCTATACATTGTTAATGTCTGACTGGGCCTCGTGCCACTTTATGTTCAACAAATTGGGCCCGGAGGTCAAAAAGGTTAAGAGCCCCTGGTTTAAACTTTCATTGTGGTTTGCAGAGTTTTTAAAATGCAGCATGYTTGCATCAGAGATAACTCTAAGACCATTTTGTTGTCTCCAAGAGGCCAATATTTCAGAATCCATCAAAGCTCTAACTTCCCTTTTGTTTTGAACTACCTCTAGTTTGAGCACATCGTGTTGCAGTTTTCTCTGAAACTCCAGGAAGCTGCCAATAGTGAGTTTTCCCTTCAGGTCCTGTCCAAAGAAGTAGGTGGTGAGAGCAGAGCTGCAGCCGGCCGTCTTCAGGGTGTTTCCTGTGGTGGAGCGGTCGCGGTGTCGCATACCCATACTGGTCTGAGATCGAATGATGCTCTGGACCTGGAAATTAAAAAAAAAAAAAAAAAACCAAATGTCAACCAGGATGAATCTTTTAAGTAATCATCTACTTTTTGGATCGTAAACAAACTGTCCAACCTGCTCGAACTCTTCTAGGTCCACCTCTCCATCTCCGTTCAGGTCAAACATCTTGAAGGCAATTTCGAAGTTCCTCTGGGGAGCTGGACACAAAACCCACACAAAGAGACGCAATCTTAAATCAATCCATCACAATATGAGAAGAAAAGTCACTCTGGATCGACCCAGAAAACAGCTGGGTCGATCCAGTCCAATAATGACTCGGTAATGATATATTTACTGCCTGAACCGCACTGGGAACGAGCTTCAGGGCCTYGATAAGCAGGAGAAAAAACTCTCAGAGTAGACATGAAAAACTGCATGATTAACCCCGTTCTCTGTACTACTCTGTTCCACATAGTGTCTGTGGGAGGTAAAMTACTACAGCATGGCTTTTACTCATTTGTATGGAAGAGGATTAGGGCTCCTGTAAAATAAGAATCTCAGAAATCAGAGATTGAAGTCAGAATTCTGACTTTCAGATTTTTGAAATCTAAGAAAATCTAAGGTCGTATTCACACCTGATAGTCCAGCAGACTCTGTTCGATTGGGGACCAAAATTGCTCAATTTGTTTACATTTTCAGTTCGGTTCACATTCACACTGCATTTTGTCGTACGGACTAAACTCTGAACAGCCTGTTCCCTCCCTTGCCTGTGGCGGCGCTGCACCAAGAACCACTGAAGGAATCGATTCAAAAAMCCCTGAAGAAGACACTAAGCGCAACCTTCTTCACAAAATGTAAACAAACATGSAGTGACGTCAGGTTTTAGTGCTTGTTTATTTTTTATATTTGGCATAGCATGAYRTCCATCTTATACAGACATCCAGCGAAGTGTCTACAAGATATGAGTAACTTTATTACTTTTATTACCCAGAATGCTCTGCGTTATAGTCTGCTTCCTRTTTCTGGAGTGGTCTCCGGTTTGCTTGGCGTTCACACATGCAATCGAACCACACCAGAGWTCACTTCAACCGAACGAGACCTAGGTTTTCAGGCGGACCAGAGTTCGCATTTTTGGTCTGAATCGAAGTTCACRCATTCACACCTCCACAAATGAACCAGACTTTCCAGGCAAATGGCTTAGAGTTYGATTAAAGCAGACTAAACAGGGCTGGTGTGAATACACCCTAAGATTATTACAATTCTGAGAATTTTGTTTCATCATGTCCCTTCTGTAYATTTCTGAATACACCTTTTTTGCCTTAGAACGCTCATCTGAACACAATACAGTATCTGGACCTTTTAAATAAAGCATTCAATTCTTTAAAAAAATTAAGAGAAGAAAGACAAAAAAAGAGGAGAAATGTAATGGGGAAGATTGAAAAATTCCTACAATTTTAAATAAATGTTATAAATTTGAATATAACAAATTTCTGTATAAAATGTAACATTTTGATGCAATAAATATAAAAATTGACCTTATTAGAATTGTTATGAGGGACTTTGTTTAAAAGAAGTTCCAAACTAATGAGGCAAAACATCATGAGCAGCCCTGATTAACACGCTGTCAGTCATTTTCATGTTTACAAAAACCTCTTTGCTGCCAACTCTTGGACTCTACACGACCTCTGAAGACACCCCGAGGTAAACCGAACAGACTGGAGCATCTAACCCTGTAAACTGCAAGGTGCCCCAGATCAGACTCCTTCTAGCGCCACCTAACCTGAAATGCCAGATGGTTTGTTACGCAGAAGCATCTGCAAAGCCTTTTCTGGAAACTGCTTGGAAAAGGGCAAACACTTAAGTAAATAAATACATTAAAAATACGGCAGGTGTTTGGATGAACCATCTGTCAGCAGCCATCATTCCAGGAAATTTCAACCGCGAGTGCAGCTAGCRTTCTTAACATTACCAGTTGGTATTGGGGGGAGACATCTTTTCAACCCTTCAGTGTTAATCTAATTCTGATGTAACATTGCTTTTTCAAATTGTTTAGCATCAACACTGTAAAGTAGTGCCATAAATTACAAATCCAAAATGGATTCCAATAGGGATGCACAATATTAGAGTTGGGCGATATGGCCAAAATTTTTTATCACAGTATTTTCAACATTTACACCGGTTTCACGGTATATCACGGTATTTTTCTTTTCATCACAGCTCAGCTGATAATAAAATGTAAAAATGTACAAATGCTGCTTATTAACTTTTTTCTTTTACTGTACCTCTGTCCGTGTTGCTAATTCCCTCCTCTAAATGTCTTTCTTTGACTGGTGGTTGTAGACAGTAATCACGCATTTTGGTCCGGTCATGAAAGAGGAGGGTTAAGAAAAGACTATTATCGGGTTTATTGTTTTATGTTATTTAATAAAGCCTATCAGGATGACTCCCCTTGCACACCAGTCATTTCCAATTCCACTACAAACCACTTCCCCTGGGCTTTTCACAATAGAATCATGTTAAGTCTCCATCAGCATAACGTCTCCATATTAAATAACTGCGCATTAAAGCTAACCGTGCACGTCACTGAAGAGGTGTTTTCTACATTCAGCGATGGAGAAAACGGGATCTTTTTTTTAACGTCAGTCAATTTAAGCAGCAGAATCACCCGCCGCTGCAACAAGCTGCTCAACAATAACATTAGCATGCTAATGCGCATAACGGTAATGCGAAGAAAAGTGTCCCCCGGGAAACAGTTCACTGGCGGCCGTGACGAAACGATCCGCACGTGTTCAGGCTATTTAAACCGGTATGCCTGGTATTCAGAAAATTCCTATCATAACAAAAATAAAAAAACGGTATTGGGTACAAAACGGTATACYGCCCAGCACTACACAATATATCAGCATTAACATCAGTATCAGCCGATGGCCATTTTTTAGAGTATCGTTATCGTACGATAAGCAAAACTGGGCCAATATTAATGTCCAATATTGATTTCCTACTTTTAGCTTTGTGTTTCTGTTTTAGGAGGGAAAACGGTTGAGTGGTCATGATAGTGATAATGATGCAGCGCAGCCAGGAATAACAGAAGTAGGGAGCCATGTCAGCGGTCTGGTTGCTTTTTTTTTACAGTATTAGAAAAAGACACAGGTGTGTTTGTGCAAATATGTATATAAATAATTTGTGTTTGTATAATATCGGTAATTAACAATAATAACAATATCGGATATCAACATCGGCTGAAACTTTCATTTCGGTGCATCCCTAGATTCCAATAATAATTGGCATCAGATTGATCCTCATTATTCTAAATACCTGCAGTTGATATAGAGAAATAGCTAAAATGCTAACGCTAAATGCAAAAAGAAAAGTTTAAAAGCGTTGTGAGCGTCCAGATGACAAACTTAAAAAAAGGGAAGAAGAGTGAGGAACATGAGGATTTAATTGCAGCTGACACCGTCATCCCAACATTCCACAAAACTGCAGAGGCACATTTTCTGTGCAGATCTATCACCGCCTGGTTYATTGCCACGAAAACACAGCTTGAAGCCTCCGGACAAGAACATCTCATCATCATAATATTACAAATCTCATGAGGATCTGGCAGCCTTTCAGCGTGAAGTGAATCTCCAAACATTGCTTTTGATTCGATCTCCTGCTGACCACAGTTGGGTTTCTTTGACCGATTTCAATTTGCATTTAAGATTCTTGAATAGGAAAAAGTTGATCGGAAAAAAATAAATAAATAAAACTTTAACTTGTTTGTAAAACTAATGTTCCACTATCTCTTGGGGATATTTTTTTCTTGTACAAAAGCTACAAAC